ACAACAACAGGATGTCAGCCTGAAGAAAACAACAACAACAACAGGATATCAGCCTTAAGAAAACAACAACAACAACACACTTGAGTTAAAACCAATCCAATATTATCTGATATTTTGCTAAAAGGAATAGAGATCTTGTTTTGAAACAAACTGCAGCTCGTAGCTCAAAGTAAAAACACTTTGCATTGAAAAGCTGAACAAAGTGTCAGGCACGGTGGTGGCAGCATCATGCTTGGGCTGATTTCATGATGAAGACTACGGTACCTCCAAGTTCTCCAACTTCACCTCAAATCAACAGCCCGATGGTTGAAACCTGGACACAGTTGAGTCCAACAGGACCAGGACTCCGAACATCAGAACTGGTTTCTGATTGGACCAGGCTGACTTGAAGCTTCAGGATGGGCCTAAGCTCCGCCCCCAACCCAAACAAACATTTCTGGACTGACTGAAACCAGAAAAACGATCGGTACGCCGATGTCCCCCCTCCATGAGATCTGAACAGTGAATGTTTGTAGTTTGGAGAAGAGTTTTTCTGGACTGGAACTGAACAGGAAATTAAGTAAACCTAAATGTTTTTTATTCAAGTGGGAGGAGTTACACCGTGAAGAACAAAGGTAGGGTTTTTTGTTTGTCCAAGGGAGTGAAGAATAACGGATCCTGGAGAGTGGAGGGAGACATTTTATCCACCTTCAGACCAGTGGAGGTGCCAGGGGGTGGCCAATGGTGGCCTTGGCCCCCATAGATTCATGTTTGGCCACCAAAAACATTTGAATATATTTTCTATATTTTCTATTTCTTAAAAATAGTTTCCTCAAATAATTGGTGTGACAATTAACTAAACATCAGTGAACAGATTTGAAATTAACCTGAGCTTCATGCCCACGCTGAGCGTACTGGATTTGTTGTTAGCCATGCTACGCTAACTCTCAGCAGAGTCCAGTGAGCCGTCCGACTGGTCACGCAGTCGTCAAAACTAATGACTGACGAGATCCAAAGCCTCCGGTTCATAACCAACTGGTCAACGGTGTTGGAGCGACTTTTACTGCATCGTACAACTTCATCATCATCATCACCTGTTGCACATGAAACCTTGAAGAAGAAGAAATTCATACCGGAATGAAGTCATTTTTCTTGAGGCGGACCACATCTCCAACCTGGATGTTCATCCATTTTGATTCTTGAAACCTGAAGCGGAGACAAAACCCATCAGTTCTCGTGTTGGAACCAACAACCCAATGGAGCAGAACATCCTTTGGTCTGACCTGCCCTCCTGCAGAACCTCACACTTCCTGTTGTTGATCTCCTTGTCCATTCGGTGGCGTGCCTGGCGGGAAAACAAGACATTAAGAGGACTCTTCATGTAAGGTCTACCACAAGTTGGACCACACTTTTGGTTCTGGTTCTGAAACCCACTGGTCTGTCAGTAAAATTTACAGTTTTCACTATTTCAGTCCAACATTCTTCTGTGAGGAATGATGGAAATCAACTCTTCATGGAGTTGAAGAGTTTGTTCAAACAGAAAGGAACGTACCAGATCGTCCACCAGGTCTTTGATGGCAGTGATTCCCAACACGATGACCAGAGGAATCAGGGTGGTGTACCAGGGCAGAGTGGTAATGTCTGGAATGACCTACAGTAAACAAACAAACAAACAAACACTGGTTGGCTCTTGGTCCTTCGTGTGTTTGGTTCAATACATCAAGAGGCTCGACGTCCATCAGACAAACCTGTAGGATGAGCAGGGCCAGGAAGTAGATGTTGGCCACTCTCTTGAACTGCTCGTACAGGTTCAACGGGAGGAAGGTGAGCACGTTGTACTTGTACGTCTTGATGCCGTTGCCCTGAAGACACAAGGACGAGAGCGCTCGTTACACGACAACATCTGGCGGAGCCATGTGGACTAAACCAAAGGCAACTGGACTTGTTTGGTTTAAACGGAGGGGAGCTGCTCAACTGACGAGGCTAACAAAGACCCTAATGACCCTCAGGAGGGAGGGGAGAGAGAGTGATTAGCAGTGTGAGAGTTCAGCTTACAAAATTCCAGTCCCTTAAACCAGATGTGTCCAACCCTGGACCTCCAGGGCCACCGTCCACGTTTTAGACCAGCAGTCCTTTATCCTGGTCCTCGACAGCCTCCATCGTCGTGGTTTTAGTTGTTTCCCTGCTCTTCATGAGGTCTTCAAGTCCTGCAGAACCCCGTTGGTCACTCGTTTATTCTAATCAGGCGCCAAAGAAGAGAAACGTCTAAAACCTGCAGGAAGGTGGACTCCAGGACCAGGACTGGACACCCCTGCCTTAAATGCACTAGGACTACGAAGCCCTGGGCGACTGAGAACCTTCAGGAAGATCTAAATGATGAAGTTGCACGACGGGAGTGAACACGAGTTTGTTGTCGGACCTTAACGTGTGGAGACGTGTCCTGCGCTCTGATGGAACCAAGACTGGACCGTTCGGTCCAAACGAGCCTCTTTACATTAGGAGGGGACAAGCTCCACGTCCTGCGATGTGAAAGCTGTTTTTTGCTTCAACTAGAGGAGAATAAGAATTTCTATAGAAAAAATTTTCAATTTCTGAGAAGTGTCTTAAAATGTCCCCAGAAAATCTAGAAATTCAAAGAAGTTCGCTTCGTAACCAAATATCCATTTCACTACAGAGCGTGAAGATGGTTGACGCTCAGCAGAAGAGTTGAATGCTGCAGAGACGGTCAGCTCGGGCCATGCAGCAGCACGGACAACATTTCACTCCCGTCTGACTCGGGAACTTTGTAATTACTTCGACCGCTAAAGAAAACTAGACATCCGACAGGAACCTGGAAGCTGAAGCGGTCTGCTGGGTCCGGCTCAGGGCTTTATCTGAGACGGATCCTGCCGGAACAGGATCCGGGAACTCCCTTATTTTGACAGGGTGCGTTCCAGAAACTGTTTGCTCGGATCTGGTAACTCGAATCTCCGCCCCTAAAAGTCCGAAGTCATTGCGCATTTTTATTAAAAAACTAAAAAATATAAACAGCACAACTAAACTGCAAATCAGTTTGACAGTTTAAGCGGCTTATTAATAAACCGATGTATTAAAATTACAACAAGAGAAATGTTTGATGTGTTTTTTCATGTTTTTATGATTATCTTAATTTGTCGTCTGCACCTCTTCTGTGTTTTCAGTTTAAAACTGGTCTCTGTTGAAAATGAGTCCTCGAGGCTCAATGAGACTAACCTGGTTGAATCTAAAATACAGCTAAAGGTTAGCTAAAAGTAGGCTAGCTAAAATAATAAGCTAGAAGGTAAAAGTAGCTAAACCTAGCTAAAAGTAAGGTAAATGTAGCGATATAGCCAATAGCTAAAAGCTAGTTAAATGCACAAAAAAATTTCAAACACCTACAGTAAAAGCTAAAAGTAGCAAAAGGCAAGCTAATTACAGCTAAAGGTTATCTGAAAGCAAAAACTAGGACGAGGCTAGCTATAAGTATCAGAAGCAAGCTAGAAGGTAAAAGTAGCTAAAGGTAAATGCTAAAAGTAACTACATCTGGCTAAAAGCTAAAACTAGCATATAAAGACCAAGATCAAACTTCCAAAAGAACATTTTTAACAGAACTGAAGAGACCTCAGTGGTTTTCTTTGGGGAAAATATTTAAAATTAAAATTTTAAATATTGAAAAGTATAAAGGTTATTAAAAAAAATAAAGTCAAAGCAGCCGTTTCCTGAACGAGCCGAAGGATTTGATAAATGAACGACTAAAACAGGACAAAGTACAGAAAACAGTGTGAATGAGGACCAGGACTGAACTGTGGACCTAAAACTTCAGAACCGTCCTCCACATGGACTCCCTGCGCCTCCTGCGCCTCCTGCTGCGTCTAACGTGTCTGCCGGTGATAAAGGTCGGCTCCTCCGGACGATCGGGTTTCATCCTTCACAAAGACAGAGCAGGCCCAGTTTCAGACATGAAAACGTTCCGGTTCTCCGGCTGTTGAAAGAACTGGAACACACCCCTCAGCTGGAGGGGCTCCCTCTGCGGATCGTCTTCCACCTCTCGGGTGGACCAACTTCACAAACGAGCTACAACTTTGTCTCTGCGTGAACTCAGACTCGTTCGAACCTTTAATCACGTTTCAGAAAATATTCAGAGCTGATGGATCGCGGGTGGGTGGGTG